TTACGGTTTAACCTTAACCTCCCTTCCCCTTCCTGTGAAATCCCAGGCTCTCTGCTCTTGTTTTAACCAGCAGGATGATATGAGCCCTTTGAGGACTGCATCCATCCAATTATCTCTAGAAACACGATAAACCTTCTCGCTGAACTCCTTCATTTATTCTATAAAATTTTACCGGCCAGGACTATGTCACATAACCTGGGGTTGCCTCTGTTCAACTAAAAGCCCCCAAGAGAAGCCATACACCATACACCAGCACCTAAGCAACCGCCTAGCCCTCGTGGGCGCCTGATGTATAGGAGCTTGAATCTTGGCTTCATGGCCCTCATTTTGTCCACAGCTCCCATGTACCAAACTGACTTAAGAATGTTTCTTCTCAAGACGACTGTGGTGCCTGCTGGTATTCCAGTTCTCAGGAGACCGAGGCAGGAGGTTGCAAACTGGCGGCCAGTCTGAGCTACCAGGTGAGTTCCCCAATATCCTGGGCTACATAGTAAGATAGATTTTATAACAGATTTAAGATTCCCAGAGAGATAGACCCCATTCATCCTACTGGGTTGCCTTGTCCAACTTTAATACACGGGGAGGTGCTTAGTCTTACTGCAACTTGATATGCTATGTTTTGTGATACCCATGGGAGGCCTGCCCCTTTCTGAACAGAAACAAAGGAGATGCAGATTCAGGGGGATGGGGGATACTGTGCATCCCCCCCCCCCTTCCGTCTGCGCTCTATAATCTAGAATCCAGTTAGCGAGCTTCGGGCAAGGGGCTGGAGGCTGAGGAAACACACACAGAGACAGACAGACACACGGACCTCCAATCACTGTTACAAAGGCCCTCTTTAATAGCACCATGGAGGCTTAATACCCTGCAGTCAATGGCCATCAGGTGAAAATCCCATCCTCTGATCCTCTAGGCAAAGCACAGCTTTTAGTAACTTCTATTAGAAGGCTCTAGCAGGGAAGAGCGGCTGAAGGCCAGGACTCCAATTGGTCCCAACAGGGGAGGTATAGGAGGAGATGAAGGAAGGGCAACTCTGGTCTGGACTTAAAAAAAAACAAAAACCCTGATAATATACACACTTAGTTTGTTTTCCTGGCACTGATGCCTACAATGTGGTCTCCTCGTTTGGTGAATTCGGCTTGCATGACAACGACTCTAGAGGTGAGAGTTGCCATCCCAGAAGCACATGGACATACCGAGGCCCTCGCCAGCATGGCTGATTCTGCTGCCTTACTCCTGACCGCTGTGCTCTAAAGACACACTTCCTTAAAAGACAGCAATCTGGCTGGTTACTCAGCACATACGAGCAGAGCCACGTGCCCTGGCGTGTGAGCATTAGCCACAGTGTTTTCATTTATCGGGCGTCTACCCAGACATGCAAACTCTGAAAGACGGCAGAGGAAATAGCTTAAACATTCATCAGGAACTCCATGAGTCAAGCGTGGTGCACACATGTGTATTACCAAGAAAACAGAAAGAACAGTGGACAGATACAGTGATGACATATTTATCAAGAGACAGGCTGGATCCCAGGTCGGGCTCACGCCCCAGCAGACAGCATGCTGGTTGGTCTTATTTATGTGAGATTTGAGCAAGTCCAAACTAATTGGAGAGCGACATAAAGTCAATCAGCAAATGCTTAGGGAGGAGTCTGGGGAGGAGGAATTACAAAATAGCATGAGGAAGGGTGGGCTGACGCATGGGTGGGCTGATGCATGGGTTAGACTGATGCATGGGTAGGGTGGGCTGACGCATGGGTGGGCTGATGCATGGGTGGGCGACTGACGCATGGGTGGGGTGGGCTGACGCATGGGTGGACTGATGCATGGGTGGACTGATGCATGGGTGGACTGATGCATGGGTGGGCTGATGCATGTGCTCGCTACCATGATTTGACTCGGTGTCTGTATCTTTCAGATTGTCAAAGCTCCTCAATTCTCATACTCTAAAATGCACAATCCGGGGCAGGCCAAACGCTTCAATAAAGCTGTTTTTGAAAGGCTAGGAAGGGGACAGAAGTGACGGAAAGACAGAAAAGGAAATCTGCCCAAAGATAGATTTCCACAGCGCTGCTTCTAAAACTGCTTTGGTGGAAGAGAATGGCCAGTACTCATAACACACCACCCCCAAATGACATTTTCCTGAAAATGCCAGTTTCCAGAAAGATAGGAACTGTATTTTTGAAGAAGCAGCCAGGTTGCAAGCAGATGATTAATTCTCATAGAAAACCGTTGATGTACCATGACAATTTCTCACCGTTTCCCATAGCTAAAATAGAGTTCCCGTGTCTCTCTCAGAAAGGCTTTGGGAAACTTTAATTGATTTGTTTTGGAAAAAAACACAAAAACACCTTGGCTACAATCTTGGAAAATAATTGAATTATGTATCAAGATACAAATGTACAACTGTTGTTTTGGTATTTGTTTTTTCTTTACAGTAAATTTTGGAAGATGCCAGCCATTCCAGCATACTACACCAGAGAAGAATGTCACTCTGGGGGCTCATGCTCATTTAGACTAAAGTTAGAGTCTTAGAATCTAGAAAAATGCTTTAACGAGTGTCGTCTGACAACCTCTACCACCGAGTAACACCGCAAAATCCATTTGCTTACTCATTGGGAAACAGGAATGGTTTGTGAGGCGTGAGCTAAGTAGGAATCCCCAGGTTCACTGGTACGGTTCTTACAGAAAGGTAGAGTTTCACCTCCTTTTAAGACTAAGAAGAGTATTAATTCAGTCTAATGGCAGTGTAAGAAGGTGCAGGTGACAGCCAGGGCAGAAGGACAATGTGGACAGAGAGAAACTGAGTCTCGTCCTAGGGTCGGTGACCTGGGAAATGGTCCAGTGACTCTTGGCGACCATGAAGCGGAAACTCTCAGCGGTTTCCATGCAGAGGAGGCTAAAGCGGCGACCACACACGACATCATCACATAAATTCAGAACATCAGAAGTAAGGTCTGACTGACTTCGCATTCGGTGGACTGGCCTATAAACCAGAATTTCTCAGCAAACTGTCCCAATATCACCTATATTCCAGCCAGAATGATCACACAGAGAAAAAACACCCCCCAGAAGGTATTAACCCTCTGAGAGAAACAGACCACTCTCCAAGAGAGGTATCTCAAGAAGGAGCCTTTGGTGGGCCATAGCAAGTGGGTAACGCCCCCTAGGGTGGGATAAGAACATTGTGGAGAGGCAGGTGTGGACGGCTCGGCTTCCCTGTAGTCACCTCTAAGAAGGTCTGCAATTGTTAAGGCTCCATAGAGGAAGGCAGTAGACAGAGGTGGCAATTTAAACTGAATGAGAATATTCAAAAGTTACTTCTTCCTTTAGTACTAGCCACGTTTTTAGGTAACATTAGATACATGAAGTCCGTAGCACCTGCATTACCCAGAACAATACCAATTATTTACTCATACAGCTTTGGGCTAGAGCGAGGTGAGGCCAGCACAAGGATGTCAAGGAAGAACTTCTGCCCTCGAAGTGAGACAGGAATACGCATTGGTGACAAAGGGCACATCACCTGGAGAGGACAGGGTCCTCAGCTTGCACGCTGCACCTGGCTTTCCATAAGCAACCCACAGTTAAGGCACCCCTATGCCCTTGTGCCCTCGGAAACCTCAAAAGCTGAATGTGTGTTTTCCATAAAATATTAAATCAAGAAAATGAAGACAGCACACTTGATGTGAAATAAAGTTCATATAGTCCTGTTTAAACACAGATTAGAATTTCTGTCAGAACAATGCCAGTGAAAAGTTGACATTCTAATTAATATAATTTACATCATAAAGCGCTGAATATCTTTATCTTGCTATTATGAAATGCCCTCTAAAAGAGGGAGACTGAATTCTACAGGGAACTGAATGCTAAGGGCAGCATTTAAAAACCCCTGGACAAGAGAGCCACGTAGGGCCACTGGCGTTTCTCCACACCACCAGGCCATCCACGATCACCCGCAAGCCTATCTGCATGCAGCGACCGGATCCTGCGGCCGCTTTCCTTGCAGTGACTTCAAGCATGCTGCCAAACACTAAGGGAACTAAAATTCTTCCTTTCTTGCCCCCTTTGTCCCTCTCCAGTCTCTCCTACGAGCCACCGTCCACAGGACGCTACACGATGCTGAATTAATCCACATTCCAAGAGTGTAAAGGGGGCAGAAATCAGTCCCACAGTTGGGTACCCAAGGCGTCGTGCTCCTTGCCTTTGTGAATTTTATTCTATCAGTGAAAGGAATAAAGATGAGATCCTTGAAGCCTGAGTTTTCGTTTCCTATGACAACGCGCTTCTCCGCCATGCTTTATCACGCTCCGCTACGCGGTTCCCACCCCTTCATAATTGATATCGGCCATTTAAAGCATTCGGTACAAACCTCCCGAGGTTCATCAACTGCACCCTGGTCTATAATTCCTGCTTTGAGCAGAACCAAAGCGCAGCCATCCAAATGTTTTCCATGACTACTCCCTGGTTTTCCCTAAGCCCAGGGCCCAGTGTAATGACAGTTGTATTAATTATCTGCTGAAAAATCCACCTAGCAGCAGAATTGATGGAGATCATCATTTTAAATATTTTATTAAAATAGCCAAGTGTAGAACAGATTAAATAGACCTTCTTGATAATGAGAGGCTCGTTAATTTTACAAGAATTCTAGAACGCTTCAGAATGGTCATCCCATTTTTCTCTTTTGTTCATTTGTTTCTTTCAAGAAGAGAGAAATCTTCGGTTGTCACTTAGGAGAACACAGGTCTAAAAAGATTTTCTAAGCTATTTTAAAACAGGGGCCTTCCTGGAAAGATCTTTGAAACATCAATTTGAAATATGGAGGCCTTGGGTGTCATCTTGCTGCTTGAAATGCTGGCAAACGTTCAGTTTAACCCCACTGAAGCTTGGCTTCGTTAGCTTATAAAGACTTCTGGTAACTAAAGCAGCTATTGGACCTAAACAAACCAGCACCACATCCAAGTCCTTTACAGAAAGGGCACTACACAACACGGTCCCGCCTACCAAGTGTGTCTCCAGGTACAGACGAAGGCTATCCGTCTCTGCTTTAGGAGGAGTCCAGTTCTCCGTGGTCTCCATAGCTTCATGTAGCCACTGGATGAACTCGTCCAGCTTGTTCACAAAGCCCTGTGGGAGAAGAGAGACAGGAGGGACACAAAAGGAAAATTAGTGGATGGTCTTAAAGTCAGTCTGAAAAATTCCCAACTTTGCCCCCACATTAGGGTAGTGTCTCGTACTGCTCTTTTTTGGTGAGGGCCTTTCCACGGCTGGTGGCCCGAAATCTTTCTAAATAGGAAACAAAATCTCCTCCTGGTGTTTATCTAGAAACGCTTTCCTAGAGAATATGATTAGACCGCGGGGTGCACTGCATAAGTGACCTCAAAATATCTCCAATGCATGACAAGCATTTCCCTGACGAACTCCAAATATCACGCTGGCTTGAGGTGTAAAAAAGGTTGTGTCCATTCAGAGTGCATGGAACTGAGTTACTATAGCTGAACCAGGAAGTGTATTTTAAACTTAAGCAGTAGCTAAAGATACTCAATGAGTCCCGTTAACAATCCAAGTATCTGTGACTGAGCCTGGGTACTGGAGAGGTGGGAAGGACGGAAAAGGGAGGACACAGAACAAATGCAGACATCTGACTGGCTGAGAGTGTCTGGACGGAAAGAAATATCCTTGCCCGGAAAGCACAAATCACAATAATCTTGCGATTTTTCAAATAGTGGTTATAAAATTTTATTGACCATTTAAAAGAACACATCTGTAGAGACAGAAAATATTTTTTGAAAAAGTGAAAATCCTGCTATAAACGGAGCCTGGCGTCGGCTTTCCATGCCTGGGTCGACAGCACCACCTGGAGGTCACATGGAGCAAGGGCAGGCTTCTATGTTCATTCCATTCGCTGTTCCCTAGGACACTAAATACGTTCCTTTTTTTAAATCTTCGACTAATTATGATCGATACCTTAATGCCTTCCTGAGGGTATTCTAACACAAAGGGAAGACTGATATGCAGAAATTCATTTTCTTTGCCATGCTTCTCAGAAGTTGAATTGTATTACTTAGTATATTCTAGATAATTCTTTAAGACTGATAACTCTTAGTTTGAACAATTTGTCTCTAGTAGATCATTAGAATACAGGAAAATGGGACAGAAGGTTAGAAAAGAGAAAAGCAGATGAATCAAGCCCAGAGAAACATTTCTGTTACGAGGGGAAGAGATCAGAGATGCCATAGAGGCCCAGAGACGCTCACTACAGCGCACCGCTCCGGTCTTGAGTGACGCGCCCATGTGTTACCAGGCTCTTCCTGGCTACCCCAGGCTTCCCTACTCCACTCTCCATACTTTACAAATTCCCACCACTGGTGTGCACGTGACTTCTGTGAGCACAGTGGAGTCCGGTGGAACTCAAATCATCATACAGTACTACCACAGCGAATTTTGTGGAAAACTGAGACCCTTTGGTGAGTACATAAACTTAAAGAAGCCTTACCTATCGCCGACAGGACGGTGCCGATGACTGACAACTGGGTTGGAAATCATAGCTTAATCTGCATATCAACCACAACTTACTGCTAAGTTTGACTTAAGTTATTGTATATAAATTGGGCTGTGGACAAAGTCAGGAAGCAAAGGATTTGGAAACAGCTAGTTGAATCCAAAAGACAAATTTTAAATATAGTCAATACTAAATGATGAATTATCTTCCAGAAGCAACTAAGAATTAAAGCCCAAGGAGGATGTCCAGGTCCCTCATCATAGTGACTGCCATAGTCAACGAGTTTAAAACCACGTGTGTCAGATTTCCTTGCATAGCCACGCGTGCATGGCTCACTGAGATTTCTGGACGCAGGTTAGCAAATGCAGGGGCCTGGGGAATCTTCCTTGATGGTGTCTCTCTCTGTGTAGCACAGCTCGCCAGCAAAACAGGGCTGACACCAAAGAACAGGGTCTTTTCCCTGCTTGCAGCCCATCCTCGCCAATTTTCATCTGCTGCACATTCTGCTACCCCTCCCCTGGCAATGCCAAGTTTCATCCACCGAAAGAGAAACACGACAAGTCTCGGAATTCCCGTTCTTGTCAAAAGCTAGGCTGTGCTTTCTTAGGCAAACCATGGCTCTCTGCCCGCTGCTGCTTCTGAGTGTGGCTCTAAGATTGCATAATGGAAACCCGGTTTCAATGGAGTCTGCTCGGTTCTCAATGCATTTATCTCCTGCATCATCTTTTTCCACTGTTTCAGAACCTCTGTGGGTTAGCAGGGGGCTCTGTGCATGAGGGTAATGTGTGCAATCCCCATCACCGGATACGACGTTTCTTAGATCAAGAATGTTCCACTCACAGACACATTCACGCTTAGACACATGCACAGCCAATCCTGGCTTTCAGGGAACCCACTGATATCTGAGGTGTGAATGAAGGAAAATGAGGCCAACATGAATAATGACATGTTGAAATGGGGTAAATCTAGAAATGTCTTTTTCTATTTTGAAGTATGGATCAAATGATAGTACAGCAAAGAGTGACCATTTATCTATCACTTAAATATTTACTAAAATCCTACCGTATACAAAGCATACTGTTAGACAAAAAATGGGCACAAAAGGAAGAATATCATTGTAGGAAAAATGCCAGCAGATGGCTGGGCATGGTGGCACATGTCTTTAATAACTGCACTCAGGAGGCAGAGGCAGATGGATCTCTGAGTTTGAGGACAGCCTGGTCTACAGAGAAAGTTCCAGGGCAGCCAGGACTATGCAGAGAAGTCCTGTCTTGTAAAACAAAAATGAACAAACAAAATGCCAGAAGAATAGAAAGCATGTCTAAACTCTGATATATGAGTCATGTGAGGAAAAAAAGACCTTTGTAATAAATAGTGAGGCACTTACTCTGTCATTACAAAACGCTTGTGTAAACCCAGACTTGTTCCTTCCTGTATTCAGTGCTGCCACATTTGCTGTGTTTCTCTAGCATCCTGAGAGCTGATTTACATGGGAGGCAAAGCTAGGTGTCCCCTGCCAAGCTGGCGCTGCCCTGCTCTGTGTGGAGAGCACCCTTTATTCACGTGTGGCTCACGGCCACAGCTGAATCACTGCGGTCCTCCAGGTTCAAACTTCAACCAACACCTCAGCCATTCCCAGCCCCATTTTCCTTATTCCTTCTGCCTGGCATCTAGACACACGTGAAGAGCGACCTGAGCCCCAAGTGCTGGTGGCCCAGCCCCTCTCTTGTCTCAGATGCTGCCATGCACCCTGATCTCTGGCCACGTTCGCATCTGATACAGTCTGAGACATCTTAGCCGGGGCCAAGACAGGATTCAGAACCCGGAAGGAAACTTGGCAGCTGAGACAGAAGGAAACAGCACTGTGGCCGGCCCTCCGGTCACTGGTCAGCAGGACACCTCCGCTCTCAATCATTCATGTCTTGAAAGTTCTATCGTGAGGCGTTCTTTTGTTTGTTTTGTTTTCGCTAAACTTACTTTAAAATTTTCTAAAGCAATGATTTCTTTAATGACTAAAAAATAAAATGGAATCTCACTCTTACCAGTTTGTGTAATGACAGTAATAATAGCAACAACAATAATGAAAACGATCATAAAATGTTTGCTGGAGTCCTAACATCAAACATTGAAGATGGCAATGATAGAAGACATTTACAGGCTGTAATACTATTATTCCTTGGGTTTTCCTTTGTCTCCTCCCATAGCCAGCTTCCCATTAATATAAACTGTCAGGTTGACCACTCCCCCACCGGCAAAGGTACCTGAGTACACACAGTACAGAGGATGATTTTCCAAGAACCAGATAAGAGGCCAGGACACAGTCATTCACTGGGAGAGAAGACACGGCCCTGACTTAGGGAATCATAAGCATAAGGGTTTTATTTTTGTTTTGTGGTTTTTTTTTAAGTTTCTATTACTTTTCAATTGAAACTGAAAGCCATTTCCCTAAAGGGCCGGGAACTCACGCAGCAGGAGGCCCGGGAGAAGGTCACTTAATCGACAAGGAAAATACAAGTCAGAAGAGGAGTGATTTGCCCGGTGACAGGGGCGAGATTTGAACCTAGATCCTACTCTGAAGCCTGTGCCTCACACACTGTGCAAAGGAGGGGTGCTTCCAGAGACACACGGTAACCAGCTGACGAGCACCCTCCAACCCCACAGCCCACACACTGAGGTAAGCTCTCTGACTCCTTGGTCCCTTCTCCCGTCACACTCATTATTTCTGTCCCTGCTTTTGAAAGCAGCTCAACAAGAAAGATCCCTACAGAGTTCACCCCTAATGTACGGAGGGAAAAGTTGAAGGAAGCTAAATGCTTGAGCAAGACTTCTCTACCTGTGCCTTGCTACAGATGAATGACTCAGTTTACCCACTGGGGACATGGTTACCAGATGGCAGGTAGCCCCTTCCTGGATGGCCAGTTTCCCTGTGGTGTTTGCCGCTGGGATGTGTACTACACGCACCTGAATTCTATTTCCAGGTAGAGAACTCAGACCCAGGCTAGACCAAATCAGCTGCCTTCGGATGGGGCCGCACAGAAGAGCCTCAGAAGCGTGAACTACTTAACTGTTTGGAGGAAAAAATGGCAACTTCTGTTGGTGAGGATTTTAGATGGTTAAAGCTTAATGGTCACTTTCTCAGTATTCCACAGTTAAGGGCTCGGTGAATCCATCCAGATAATTCTAGCTGAAATAATAAGCAGCCCTCACTATGAGCTGGGACCTGCTGTAAGCATACTCTATAAAAGAAACCACTTAGGCCCTGGAACGACCACACGAGCTAGTGACTGCTGTCACCCTCAATATGAAGATGAGAAGAGAAAGGGCAGAAGGCAAGGACAACTGTCTGATGCCATGGAGCCAGAAGGTGATGGACTCGGTACCCAGCTAGAGTCTCACTGGTGCTACATGATATCATGGAAGGCAGGCTGATGTACCGGTAGCCTTTCTTCCCAGAAATTGAAAGTTGAAAATGAAGATTATGAAAATGAAGATTATGTAGGGGAAACAGAGATGGTATATTATAAGAGACAGAGAGTCAGAGAAGGGGGTAGAGAGAGACAGAAAGGTGTGGGAAGAGAAAGAGGGGGAGAGAGGGAGGGTGAGAGGGAGGGTGAGAGGGAGGGAG